CTATTAACACTTTCTCTACTGCATTGTTAGAACCTTGTTACCTGGCCCTGTTAGCCCATGTTGGGAAAATTGGAAATTATTATTTACTGGAAATAAACAAATATCGATAGGCTATTGAAAATTTCTTATGGTCAATGCTGTTACAGGTTTGATAGGATATTCTTCAGCACAAATTAAGCTAAATGACACCCTAGCACAAATTATAATAAGTCATATTGTACACTACTATATGTCTACAATCGTTTGAAAATAGAAGTAAGTTAAAATTAGTTCATAATACAAATACTAAGGGCCAAAATTTCATGGTGTCTTGGAAATGTATATACAAGGTTCAGCTGGAAAGCTCATTGGCTGACTAAGATATAAATGTAAGTAGACAACCAGTTGGTACTAGAATAGACATGCAAGTGTACCAGAATACAGCAGCTGGTTGGCCAGCTGCTGTATTCTGGTACACTTGCATGTCAGCCTATAATCTTTTTAGCCAAATTTCATATATGTTAATGGTAAGCAATGTAATTTTTATAACAATGTATAGGTGAGTCTTGAAAACACACACACACACATAAATATATATATATATATATATAATTAGAAGAAAGGGTCCACATGTTCTTCTAGTAGGTTAGTTAATAAAACAAGAACAAATGAAAGATTACCAATATAATCAGTACAAAAATCATTTATTAAATATTATTAACCATATGATAAAAATTAAGCAGGGAAAGAAAATGCTGGAAACTTTTGCATTATACTAATTGCATATTGACTGCTCTTTTATGGTGGGAGATTCAGAGTTACATTTCTAGAGAGGGAATAATGAAGAACTTGAAAATTTATTCTATTGATGTTTTTTTTCTTTGCTTGATTTTAAATAATATACCAAAATAAATTAAATTTAATACTACTGATGCTTTGGCAGTTAATTTCCAGTCATCTTTAAGCAAAGAATGGATTATCTCTTTTGTTAAATATCATACACTAAATCTGAATTGTATTTTCTATTTTAAGTTATTGACGCAAATGTTTAGGTAACCATTCTGACATCAGATATGCAGTGCCAATGACAGATGCCAAAATGAAATATTCAACTCATGTCAAAATAGCTTACAAGGCTGAAAGTCTTTGGATTGTATGAAAGAAAGATCTGAGGAGGTAAAGTTGTTTGAGTGGTCGACTGCTTGGAGATTGACTTCTCATTCCAAAAGTTGGGAATTCTTTATTGAAAAACAGTCGGAGACATTGAATGTATTTAGTGATATTAAACAGCGAAAAAATAATTAAAAAAGAACAGTGTCACCATGTAACTTTGGCATTAGTCACCACTGGTTTCCTGTCTCTAGACTCTCTGTGTCTGTACTTTGTTTGCTGCGCCATCTCTGGAACTGTTAATGGATTGCAAGACAAAATTGTCTTTGAAATCAATGCTGCAAAAACAGTTGCAGAATAATTTTTCTTGTAGATTATTTTAAAAAAAACTAAATTGGATTAATATTTCATGCATTTTCAAAATCATGAAGCAGCAAAGTTGGCCAAAATGTAATTTCTGAGGGACTGATAGTCTTTATACAGTTACTGGAAGAAAGAAACTTTCTGTTTTATGGATCTGAGGAACACATTGAAAGGCAATATAAATTTTCTTGATGCTATGGTGTTTCTTAGAAATTTTGATCAAGAAGCATAAGATCACATAAAATCAGAATATCAAATATGTGATGATTATTTTGGCCAATTCCAGTATATAATGTGGGTGAAACTGTTTTTCAAGAAATCATTTGGAACTTCTGAGATTCATTATCAGGAATAAATGACAATGGTCATTAGATAAATGACCGATGGTGTATAATCAATTACTCCAGCAGGACTATGTGAAAATTTCATCAAGTTTTTAGTAATACAAAGTCGCACACAAGAAAATTTCTGCAAACAAGTATTAGAAACATAAGAGTTGTATATTGAATATCTCTGTAGGCAAAGGGTACAGGCTTGGTTCCAGGATGAATGGATACTCCTTAGATGTGCAGGAACAACTTTAGCCAAAGAATTTTTGATTCACTGTTAGTCCTCCTATATGCCAATCATTGCTGGACAATCTCATCCTCAATGAAGAAACTTGAAGCAACAGAAATTTGGTTCTGCAGAAGGATGCTGAGAATGCCATGGCCCAAACATGTAAGCAACAAAAATTTTTTTTAAGAAAATGTAAACAAAAAAATTTAGAATCAGTAAGAAGCAGTTGAAATTTGTTTGGCACATAATGAGAAAAGAAGGCTTGGAAAATTTGATACTCACAGGACATTGAGGGACAGAGGAAAATGATGTATGACCTACTTAGTGAGTCTGAGTAAATGGATAGCAGAAACAGGGTTTAGGAGAGATAACAAAAAGATAAAATTTATTAACAGCTACAAAGGACAGGAAATCATGAAGAGCCATTATTACCAAAGTCCTGAAGGGAAACAGTGCACAAAAGAAAAGAATGTATGTTTTTTCTACAACTGAGGTTTAGAAAGCATGCTACAAATATGTCCATGGACTTCTGTCATATTTACACTCCTGTTTGCGTCATCTACTAACTGATTCTACATGTGACAGGTCTGTTTGTAAAAACTTTCTCTGAAACACATTAGGAATTTAAAATAGGAAGGGCTAAAGTTGTATGGTACCAAGCATCTGAAGTTTGTGATGTGCAAGAAGATTCAGCTGAAAACATTGAAGATTCACAAAAGAAAAACAATGCTGAATTATTAGTCATTCAGATGAAAGATTGCCAATTTTTGGTCTTAATAGTTTTCTAGTACTCCTTAGTCTTTCAAGTGAATTTTATGAGTAAGAAACTTCAGAAAGATAGTATGGATATTTACTGGAAGGCTTCTTCATTCAAAAAAGTTAGAAGTGATTAAAGAGATTCTGTAAGAAAATTTTCATGAAGTTTTGGTTGATGCTTGTGAGCATTCCAAAAACCTACATGTGTCTGTAGTCAAGAATCAGAGTAAACATTTAAATAAGAAAGAACACTTTTAATACTGAATCCGCTGAGGCTAACATTTTGTTAGATACTAAAACAGCATTGTGAGAGCAAAGTTCTAATCAAGTGTTAAATAAAACACTTAATTCACCATTTGAACAACTAACAAAGCAGGAAAATTTGTATGGATTCTTGTGAAATTTGTCCAAGCACATCAGACAAAAAGTATACAACAGATCTGGAAGTGACATTGACAAATGTCAAGCAGACACTGGCAAAAAAACAAGTTAAGACCAAAAATGTAGGTAATTTAATGTTCGATGTGAAAATTGAGGCACGGAAATTAGTTATGTCACTGGTGTTTCAAAATCCCTTGAAAATGCTTATTTTGTATGGTTCCAACCATAGACCTGCTGCATTTTCTTTTGGGATTTCTTTAGCAACCCCTGTGATGGCAGCATCAAAAGAAAGCAGTTTTTCTGAGTTGAAACTGAGGAAAATTTGAGATCAATTTAGCTAGAATGTTTGAACTATTTGCCAATTATTTCCATTGAAGCTGAAATTAGCAGGAATTTAAACTTAGACAAGATCCTAAAAAAACTACTAGATGAAAAACATTATTTTCATAATTGTTGTAATCTAGGGAAGGTTACTGAATAGAATAATCACACAAAGTTTGGTAATGAATGATAATACTTAGAACAAGAACAACACATATAAGATTCACCAGTGGCACATAGAAGAAGTAGACAACTGCTAGAAGAAAGTCAAGTGAATTCCACAATGAATCTCCAACTGAAGATCACAGACAATATCTACCAACCACTCCATGTGGTCAGATGTGGCACAAGGCCAGATTTAATATTGGATAACCCTTTAGGCTGAGCCAGAAATTCCCCGTAGAATATTGCTGCCACATATGGTCGCTTGCCCCTACTATTTACCTTGAGCTCCTTGATAAAATCCAAAGAGGAATCAACAATAATATTGGTGTTGATCTGGTGGCTCAGCTTCATTCACTTTTCCACTGCCATAGGTTGCTTCTCTGTAACTTTCCTATAAATACTTTCATAGTAAAAATTCCCTTGTATAAAACTGGGTTGGGTAGCTGTTTCCTGAGATGAGCCGCTTCCCTTCAGCATAGCCTCGTCTGGGGATCCTCTCTGCCTAGAGGCAGAGAGCTTAACTAGCATAGCTGAAGACGAATCTTTAACTGCAGAATGCAGACCAACACATACATTATTTATAGGACTGGAGGCGTACCCATTATTGTCCATAGATATGCTACAACAATAATGGAAATCATATTAATAATAATAACTGATTTAATATTAATGTTAAATGATTTTTCTCCAATAAGATTAATTTGGTTCATTAACAGAGGTACACTTTGAAGAGTATGTTTAGATTATTTTCCATGAAATCTATAATAGATATTTTTTATAGTTCTATGATTCTATGAACCATGTTACAAACCTAGAGCCTTACCAGAAATGTTTCCAATTGCTTCTCTGCAGCCAGTCCTACATATTCATCCTCTGAAATGACTACAGAATTTTTCGGTGGTGTGGAAGTTATTGTCAGACATTCACACACATTAACTAAACGAGGACATTATCAATTTCACTGCACAAAACCATTTTATTACTTAAATAATTACAAATACTTTGACTGCTTTTGTGAGACATAAAGATGATGACCAGTTTTTAATCTAAATGATGGCAAATTTGATTCAATTCTTTCAGCTTTTGAAATTAATAAGCTGTAAAGTTGAGGATATTAGCCTGTATCAAGCCATCAATGTCAAAGCACATGATTTGTGAACTCTTTTATGTTTCGATTAAGAAAGTGAGAATTTTCATTCTCTATTTTTTTTTTTTGTTTTCCTTCTTGGCCACCAACAAATGCAAGTTTATTTCCCTCTTGTTTCCTGTCCCAATAATACTTACATCAAAGACCCAAAACAATGAAAAGTGATTGATTTTGGGGGCAGTTGTTTATGTCGGGTTTGACTGATTCTCTTAAAAAGTATTCAAAGTTGTAAAAAATTAATTGTGTATCGGACAAAGCAGGAAGTTAAGGGATGAAAGAAAAAATAACGAATTTGAAAATGAATGACTGGTGAAGAATTATGCAGGGATATAAAAACTGCAGGAAAAGTGCTGGCGACAATGAGGCAGAAAGATGAACGATGCATCAGTGACAAAAACGAACACACTAAAAGGATGAGAGAAGTTAGGAGATGAAAAAAAAGGGGAAAATTGAAAGAAAATATAAGAGTACAAGAAGGAAAATATAAGAGAGATGGAAAATGAGGGCTGAAAGAAAATGTAAGAGAGTATAAGAAGGAAAATATAAAAGAGATGGAAAATGAGGGCTGAAAGAAAATGTAAGAGAGTATAAGAAGGAAAATATAAAAGAGATGGAAAATGAGGGCTGAACGAAAATGTAAGAGTACAAGAAGGAAAATATAAAAGAGATGGAAAATTAGGGCTGAAAGAAAATGTAAGAGAGTACAAGAAGGAAAATATAAAAGAGAGGGAAAATGAGGGCTGAAAGAAAAAAGTAGTGAAAACAATGTTGAAACAGAAGGTCAGAAAAATTGAGGAAGAGAATGAGATGAAAGGGAGGACAAAGAGATAATCAAAAGTGATTGTCAGAATGGGAGAGAGAGAGAGAGTAAGAAAGAACATGAAATGAAAGATGGGAAAACAGAAGGTTTAAAGAGTGAGAAGAAAAAGTAAGTTATTAGATGAAATAAAGGAAAAATGAAAGCTGAAGTTGAATCTCAGTGAAAAATAGAAGATGAAAGAGAGGAGAAACTGAGCTGAGAGAGAAGAGGAAAGAGGAGAGAAACTAAAAGTTGCAAGAATAGAGAAAGAGAGAAAACAAGAAAGAAAGGAGAAACTGAAAGTTGCACAAACAAAGAGAGAACAAGAAAAAGAGAAGAAAATGCAGATTATTTCAAGGCAGAATATATTTTTAGATTAAAATAATTTTTTAAGGATAATAATGATTTACTGGTTGAAGTCCTACTAATTAACTAACAACTGGAGCAGAAGGGGTGGTTTTATACCTTCCCAAAGACTATTTGCATGAAAGTGAATATAACAAACAGAAACAGAATTAGAACTCTGTTCTCTGATAACCAATTATACCAGTCACATATCCAAGCTTAAAACACCTGGTATTCTCAAGTGGTCACCCATCTAGGTACTGACCAGGCTTGATATTGCTCAACTTTGGTGATCATATGAGAACTGCTGAAAGATAGAGAACAAAAAAGGAAGAAAAGATATGCAAAAGAAGAGATGAAAATTGTAGGAATATCAGAGGGGGAAAGAGAACAAGACAGAAAAGAGGTTATAGAAGAAAATGAAATACATTGAGAGAGGGAAAGAGAGAAAGTAAAGCAATGAAAGAAGGCACAAGAATATCAGAGGGGGAAAGAGAACAAAACAGGAAAGAGGTGATAGAAGAAAATGAAAGGCATTGAGAGAGGGAAAGAGAGAAAGTAAAGCAATGAAAGAAGGCAAAAGAATATCAGAGGGGGAAAGAGAACAAGACAGAAAAGAGGTGATAGAAGAAAATGAAATACATTGAGAGAGGGAAAGAGAGAAAGTAAAAAAAATGAAAGAAGGCAAAAAAGAATATCAGAGGGGAAAGAGAACAAGACAGAAAAGAGGTGATAGAAGAAAATGAAAGGCATTGAGAGAGGAAAGAGAGAAAGTAAAGCAATGAAAGAAGGCACAAGAATATCAGAGGGGAAAGAGAACAAAACAGGAAAGAGGTGATAGAAGAAAATGAAAGGCATTGAGAGAGGGAAAGAGAAAAGTAAAAGCAATGAAAGAAGGCACAAGAATATCAGAGGGGAAAGAGAACAAGACAGAAAAGAGGTGATAGAAGAAAATGAAATACATTGAGAGAGGGAAAGAGAGAAAGTAAAGCAATGAAAGAAGGCAAAAGAATATCAGAGGGGGAAAGAGAACAAGACAGAAAAGAGGTGATAGAAGAAAATGAAAGGCATTGAGAGAGGGAAAGAGAGAAAGTAAAGCAATGAAAGAAGGCACAAGAATATCAGAGGGGGAAAGAGAACAAAACAGGAAAGAGGTGATAGAAGAAAATGAAAGGCATTGAGAGAGGGAAAGAGAGAAAGTAAAGCAATGAAAGAAGGCACAAGAATATCAGAGGGGGAAAGAGAACAAGACAGAAAAGAGGTGATAGAAGAAAATGAAATACATTGAGAGAGGGAAAGAGAGAAAGTAAAGCAATGAAAGAAGGCAAAAGAATATCAGAGGGGGAAAGAGAACAAGACAGAAAAGAGGTGATAGAAGAAAATGAAATACATTGAGAGAGGGAAAGAGAGAAAGTAAAGCAATGAAAGAAGGCAAAAAAGAATATCAGAGGGGAAAAGAGAACAAGACAGAAAAGAGGTGATAGAAGAAAATGAAAGGCATTGAGAGAGGAAAAGAGAGAAAGTAAAAGCAATGAAAGAGGGCAAAAAAAAGAATATCAGAGGGGAAAAGAGAACAAGACAGGAAAGAGGTGATAGAAGAAAATGAAAGGCATTGAGAGAGGGGAAGAGAGAAAGTAAAGCAATGAAAGAAGGCAAAATAATATCAGAGGGGGAAAGAGAACAAGACAGAAAAGAGGTGATAGAAGAAAATGAAAGGCATTGAGAGAGGGAAAGAGAGAAAGTAAAGCAATGAAAGAAGGCAAAAGAATATCAGAGGGGGAAAGAGAACAAGACAGGAAAGAGGTGATAGAAGAAAATGAAATACATTGAGAGAGGGAAAGAGAGAAAGTAAAGCGATGAAAGAAGGCAAAAGAATATCAGAGGGGGAAAGAGAACAAGACAGGAAAGAGGTGATAGAAGAAAATGAAAGGCATTGAGAGAGGGAAAGAGATGAAAGAAAGCAAAAGTGAATGTTGAGAGAGAAGTTAAAAGAGAATAAATATTTGAATATCTACATGAATGGATAAATTAATGAATTAAAAACTGAATGGATGAATACAGAATGAATAAAACTGAATAATTGAATTACTTATAATTCTCTTATTGAAAGAATAAGAAATAAAAGAATAAATAAATGATTAAGTGATTGAAGATCTGAATGAATGCAGGAAAAGAAGAAGGAAAAAATGCAACTGCAGGAATTAAAGAAAAAGAAATACTTAATGCCTGAATGAGAGAAAGAAACTAATGATGGTAAAAATAAGAATAAAATAATGAAGAAAATAAAAAGACATAAATGAGAAAAAGAAAGAAAGAAAAAATAGTTGGAGAGAAGAAACAAAGAAAAAGGAGTGAAAAAAATGTCTGGGAATAAATGTATGGAAGCTGGGAAAGAGATGATCAAAATAAATAAAAAAAATTAATGGGGATAAAAAGTTTCTTCATTTTTGGTGAGAATATCCAAAAGATAGAAGGAAATGAGAGAGTAAAAGGAGAGTAAAATCACAGAAGGATCCACAGATAAAAGTAAGAAGAACGGAATAAGAAAATTGATAGAAGAAAAATTATGTGTAGAGTAAGAAGAGGGACAAAAGGAATTTAAAAAAGAGACAGGGAAAGAAAAAAAAGAAAAAATTAGTTCAAAATGTGAAAGTGTATATATCAGCAGAATAAGAGAGAAAATAAATTTCTTTGTAAGAAAATGAAAAAAAGAACAAATTGTATGGGAGAAAGAAAAAAAAAATATTAGAAAGACTAAAAGGAGGTTATAGAGTGATAGATGGATTCAAAAACAGAAAAAAAGTTAAGCTGTTCAAAAAAAAAAAAGGCAATAAATGCTAAGAACCAGAAAGTGAGGCTAAAACGTCATAATAAGAAGAAAACTGTTGGAGGGTCTAAAAAGCTAAAAAGACTGGAAACTCAAAATGAAAAAGCAAGGATAGCAAAGAAGACAACAGAAATCAACATGAGATGATCACAGACAAAAAAAAACAGTACTCAGTTAAAAAGAAACTAAATAACAGGAACTTTGAATGCGAACAATGAAGCTGGAAAAATAGGTCAGAAAAGTCACAAAAAACCCCAAAAAAAAACACCCAGAGAGATAAGGTCTGATGATATTTATAATGATATTCAGAGGAAAATCAATAACATATAAAATTTATTTTTATCTTGGCTTTTCTTTCAAAGTTCCAATAGTAGTTTTGTTTTATTCTCCCCTGCTCGAAATGACCGTGAGATGGCTTAATGTAATCACATACACTGCTAACAAAACTTTTCTATTCCAAGGTGGTCATAAAGCAACTGCGATCCTTTTAAATGTGCAAGATAAGATTTGTATTCAGGACTTGGAAAGGTTATCTATGATTATGAGAGTAAAAGGCCAGGCATAAAAATCAAATGCTTTATATATATATATATATATATATATATATATATACTGGCAGCATGTTTTCATTGCGACATGTTTCATTGAATAATTTAGACAATTTTGTCTACTTATTTTCAATTGGCTCCTTTCATATTCACGGACAAAGTTTTTGGTGTCATTATTAAAAGAAAAAAGAAAATTACCCTTTTGCTACATATTATTTATTTGAGATATAAGCACAATGTCATCATCAGGTTGTTGTTTTTCAGGGCAAATATTCAACCTCATGACTTAGTTACCTCCCATTAAGTGTTACCCAAGCTAATCGCACAGCACTAAAGTCAGAATTCATCACTTCACAAGTAAAAGCAATTTAACTTTCATATGAAAACAGCAATTTTGTCTTTGAAAATGATGAACACTACAATATTTGTGTTGAAAAAAAAAAACACCCTGATGATGACATTGTGCTTATGTCGAAAATACTCTGAATAAATAATATGTATGAACATGGTAATTTTCTATTTCCTTTAATAATGATAACAAAATCTTGTCCATGAATATGAAAGGATCTAATCGAAAATAAGTAGAAAAAATTTGTTTGAATTATTCAATGAAACATGTCTCAAAATATATATATATATATATATATATATATATATATATATATCTCCACAATTACTTATATTCAATAGCTTTTAGAATAATATGAAACAATCGTTACTGCCCATCCAGTAACCACCAGGATAATACAATAGATCTTACTACCCATAAAGCATCACTGGCTAGCATATATAGGCAAAAAAAAAACATGGCCTGAAGATTGTGTTGAGGATGAAACAGACTGTCGCTACTTGTTGTTGACCTTAGTATTTACTTTTATATTTACTTATGTTCTGTCTCTGATATTGACCACTTTACCCATGAACATAACATACCTAAAAACAATATTTTAATTTTTTTTTAACAGTGAAATTAATATTATGAGCCTAAATTGAAGCAAAAATATCTACAAACAAAAACAAAATGTCATTAGTAACTAGAAGAATTTAGAAATGCTATTTTATATTCATTGGGTCAACTGAAAAATTGCGTTATTTACTTTTCATTTTTGAAGAGAATTTTTTTTCATATGTAGAAATATTGTTTGTATTGTGTTAATGGATTCATTTGCTTTCTTGATGTATTTGATGTGTATGTTGGCTTGGGAGTGTAGTGATTCTATTAAGAAAGATGAGTTTGTGAAAAAAAACCTGGGTGTATATTAATATTTGGATAATATTCAATGGCAGCACTCTCAAGGATTTCTGTTCTTTTTCTTTTATGAGTGGAGGATTTTTTAAATCAAAATAGTGGTTGAATTTATTTCTATGTATAGCCAGTGTATTTGTCAAATTGTTATTTATGAGGTCTCTTTTGTGCTCATAGATGCATTTTTTAAATTTCTGCATATTTCTCCAATGTATTGTGAGTAACAGTTTTGGCAATTTATTTTATATATGCCTACTTCAGAAATATTATTGATTATATCCATAATGGTTTTGGAAGCATTTGGGGTTATTTGGATGTTCTTTACATGGGATAGGTTGTTCTGGATAGTGGACATTACAGAGTTGGTAGGGAGTATTATGTATCGATTCTTATATAATTTATTATTATGGATGATGTTATTTTTGTTGTGGTTGTATATTTTGCATGCCTTTGTACTTGAATTGTGGATGAAATGATATGGGTATTGCAGAATGTATTTTCTATGTATGTTTATTCTTTGGGTAAATATTGGGACTGCAAATTCTTAAACACTCACTTCCAAAAACACACAAACTGAATATGATTTTTATTTATAGATACTTTGTATTTCAGCAAATTCATCTTGTCTTTTGCCTTAAAGGAGTCTGCATTGGATGAAAGGCGTTAGCTAAAACTACACACAGTTTTCCTGTTGTCTTTTTTCCTTTATATATATATATATATATATAATATAATTGTATATGTGGGCAGTAAACTTTCTTTTAAACATCTTTCATGAAATATGAAAGACAAGGAAAATTTAATTAATTTTTTCTTTTGTTTTTCCAGCATTTTTCCATTTTTCCATGTAGTAGAAGTAAGAGAGTGAAAAAAAATTGTCCATAGTCCCAAGCGATTTTGGTCGCTTCTTTAGCCATTTTCAAGTGGGTTTTGATTAGGTGTTGTTAATTTCTCTTCATGTTTTGACTGTTTAAGATATATTTTTGTTGTTTTTTAATACTAGTAGTGTGTGTGTATGTATGTATATGTATATATATATATATATATATATATATATATATATATATATATACACACACACACACACAAACACTTATTTGTTTGCAGTTAGAAATTAGTTTTTGTGTGTCATATTTAGATTATATATAAATATATCTGTTAATGAAATCACTAGCTTTATTAAAATTTGATGAGAAATGTGTCTGTGAAACTCGGAAGATAAGTCTTTTGAAATTTTATTTACTATATGGAGGTGTAAATAACTATATAAATGTATATAGTTATTTACACCCCCATATATATATATATATATATATATATATATATATAATGAATTCAAAGTCTTTAAAAGGTCATAGTGATATTTTATTTCATTACTAACTCAACAGACCAAACATCATCATACAAATAAATGGATAAAAATTTTTTCCAGACACAATAACAATAATCTAAGTATAAATAATGTTTAAAGACGTAGATTCAAAATTGAGGGAAGGGAGAGAGGAAAAAAGGATGTGCATTCAGAATGGGAGAAGGTAATGGAGAGATGGGGAGGAGAAGGATATGTATTCAAAGCTGGGAAGAGAAAGAAAGAGAATGAGAGAACTATATAAGACTGCTTAAAGAGATATGTCAAAGTTGTAGTGATGAGAGCAGACATGTTGACCTAATTATCCTGGATGTGCACAGTGAAGTAGAAAAGGATCATTAAATCGGAATAAAGGAAAGAGACAAAATGAGCCAAAGAAGGAAAGGGAACTAAAGATACGGCTTGAAACCAGCAATCTTCTGTATACAATTGAATAGATTTTCTGTCCAATGCATGTAGTCATTCATGATTTTGACACTAGTACTTTTTAAAAAAAATATTATTATTACTTTATGAGAGAAAAAAGATGCAAAGAATTTTTAAAAAGTTTATGTACCATTTTACCATCAAAAAATTCTATTTTTTATATAGGTTATAATAAATAAAAAAATATTATTATTATTATCTTTATTATTACGTATATTTTCATCCATAATTTTATTCATTTTAAATAATATCTTTTTTATTTATTATACAAATGTGTCAAAATTGTGAATGACTATATGCATTAGACAGAAAATCTATTCAGTTGTACACAGAAGATTGCTGGTTTCAAGCCATATTTCTAGTTCTCTTCTCTTTCCTTCTTTTTCTTTTTCTCTCTTAGTCTCTTTCCTCTACCCCCATTTGGCGATCCCTTTCTACTTCACTGTGCACATCAGGAATAATTAGGTCAACATGTCTGCTCTCATCACTATGACTTTGATATATCTCTTTAAACAAACATATATTTCTCTCTCTCTTTCCCTTCCCAGCTTTGGATACATATCTTTCTTCCTCCCCTCTCTCTATTACCTTCTCCCATTCTGAAAGCATATCCTTTTTTTCCTCTCTCCCTTCCCCTAGTTTTGAATCTACATCTTTAAACATAACTTGCGCTTAGATTATTGTTGTGTGCCTGGAAAAATTTTTATCCATTTATTTGTGTGATGATGTTTGGTCTGATGAGTTAGAACTGAAATAACAATTCGAATGAAATAAAATATTGCTATAACTTTTTAAGGTGTTTGTTTTCATAATAATTATTATTTGCTCTGTTTTTACATTGGGCTCTTCCTGGATCTGTGTCTTCTTTGACATTATCCATACGGATTACCAAATAATATAAATTGTGAACTGGGGCAGGAATTGGCTGATTAACTTAAACGCCTCAAAAACAAAACTGCTCTCTATTACTCAACACAGAGAACCATCCCTGCCCCGCATTAAAATGTCTGAACTTCTCAAGAGCTCCTCTTTGCAACTACTTGGCCACACATTAACTGCTGACCTGAGATGGAACAAATATATTGAGTCAATAGCTCCGTCCACTGCAAGGAAAGTTGGCTCCCTGTGCTGCGCCAGGAAATTTTTCTCGCTGGAGTCGATCCTTTAAATCCACAAATCAACCATTTACCCTTACATGGAGTATTGCTGCCATATATGGTCTGGTGCCCCTTAGGTTTTTCTAAAGGTTCTTGATAAGATTACGAAACGGATATGCAACGTAATTGCTCCTGATCTGGCATCTCGTCTGCAGTCACTAACTCACAGACATGCCATCGCCTCCCTCTGTCTTTTTTTTTTTACAAATACTTTCATGGTAACTGCTCTGAGGAGATGCTTTCACTGGTTCCCAAACTTCATGATTTTAAGCGTTCTACTAGGCTGGCATCTCACTCACGCCCTTTCATTCTCGACACTGTTAAATATAGCCATCTCTTCTATGCTAATAGCTTCATGTCTCACACCTCTTGCTTGTGAAACTCACTCCCCTCTTCCTGTTTCCCTAATAATTATAATCTACAACTATTCAAATGTAATGTCAATCAATGTCTCCAGATGCCCTGATCAAACTCCTATCCTTCTCTTCATCCTTTCCTCAATCACACTTGTTTGCTCTTGCTCCAACTTCCTGTAACCCCATGTGTGTTAGTGGCTTCCTGCCTTGCTTGGGATGAAATGCTTAAAAAAAAATCATATAGATGATTTTTTTTAAGCAAAAAAGCAATAAAAGAAGTCGTCAAAAAACAAATGTTACGGCAGTTTTTTATATACACAAAACCCTTTCAGAAAGAAATGAAATAAAAAAATAAATAAATCTCCATAGACACGTAAACCAGACTAGGCAAAATCATCTTCCGTTTTAAATTTAGACACCCCAACCTTACCCTGACTTGACATCTATGAATGTAACTCTATACTGATACAAATTATTAACACCCTACACCCCTTCCTATTTAAACAATCACTCTGGCTGTTACCATGGAAATTTTGATTTCAATAATGAATATGCTATTAAAACACGTAAATTTCAGAAATAAGTTATTCCAAAAAAAATTTCACTTGAAGATGGAACAGAGCTTACTTTAATTAAATTTAATTCAAATAATTATATTGAAGTTTTCGGCTCTTGTTTTGAAACATGAGACCTCTTATGTAGCGTGTTGGAATCATATTTTTAAATAAATAATTATATTTATGCTCTACTTTTGTATCGAGCACTACTTTAAAAAAAAAAAAATAACAAAAATACTAAAGAACTTTGGATTATTTACCTAATGAGTTCTTTCCTATTTTCTATATATTTTCACACACACACACACATACATATATACATATATGTATAAACACACATACATAGTGAGCAAGAAGTTTCATTGAAGATGACTGGTAAGACACTATAATTAACTTTTTTATTATATTTTCCTTACATGAGTACAAGAGATTTCAGATCACTTAGAATATGTTTCTTTCTAATTGTCAATGAATTTCTTGGAAAAAAGAATTAGAAATATATTTACATTATATTCTGTCAGTAAAGCTTGCTTTAATTCCTGACCACTCACCAATCCTTTCTGAATGGCAATGTATTTATGTAGTAAAAT